ATCGCTGAGTCCATTGCTGTAACACACTAGGTGATCGCTGAGTCCATTGCTGTAACACACTAGGTGATCGCTGAGTCCATTGCTGTAACACACTAGGTGATCGCTGAGTCCATTGCTGTAACACACTAGGTGATCGCTGAGTCCATTGCTGTAACACACTAGGTGATCGCTGAGTCCATTGCTGTAACACACTAGGTGATCGCTGAGTCCATTGCTGTAACACACTAGGTGATCGCTGAGTCCATTGCTGTAACACACTAGGTGATCGCTGAGTCAACCCAGTGTTGAGTCGCTGAGCTCGTTACAGTTTGTCATGAGCCTGACGTGTATTTGCATAGGAACACTAACAATTGCTATGATGTGCTTTTTAGGAGATTAAGTGTTCTCCGGAAGTTAAAGAATTTTGGAATGATCGTAGGACTCAGAATTTACAGCAAGAGCTCCAGAATGCCAAAGCGCAAAATGAACTAAAAACTTTACAGGTTGAAACTGAAGATGTAAGTTTTTGACTGCTACGGTATCTTACATTATTATACAAGTTATGATTAATGCTCCTCTATTAGTTAAGTTATATTCTCGACCGAAGCAGGGAATTGAACTTGCACGCTAATATAATTGGAAACAAAAGAAAATCTAAGTTGGAAAAGATACAGGTGCGCATTTTTTAGCTAATGACATTATTTTGTAAATTTTTTCCTAATGATCTACAGTTTTTATCCTTAGGATGAACAACGCCAAACTAAAAGTGGAAGTGACATAAGTGGTGAAGTTCATTTTAATTTGTCCAACAATGCATCAAAAAGAAGTCCGGAAGAGGTACTAAGAAGTATTGTTTAGAAGTTGAGAATAAATCTGTCAAACTAATTATTTTGTGTTTTAATATTTATAGGATGACGATTCTAAAAAAAGACCCGCCAAAAAAAATCGCAACGTTATTGTTGACATAAACATTATACCAACTACACCACCACCACGAACTGCAGAAAATATTGTAGTGATGCTTTTTCCATTGTGTTTTCATCTTATTATATACAGTAGATTTATTCTTCCTTCTTATAATCTAGGTCTCGAATAATGATGACGAAAATGACGATAATGACTCAGAAAGCGACACTGAATCAATTGATATAGATCAGGGTGAAGAAGAAATTGGAGACTTACACAAGTATTTATTTATCTGCCATCTTTCAATACTTTTTATATAACTGATAATAAATATGTTTAACTTTCTAGGACGAAGTGGAAATTCGCAACAAATTAATTGCTATTTTAGATTCACAACAAAAAAAGGACAACGAATTGGGAAAGGACTGTCTATCATCAATATCTCCTAACCATATTATTGATTTCTCTAACGATATAGTACCAAAAAAAGTAAATAAATCATTAAACGAAAACCAAGTCAAATGGATTAATACATTTCTCCAGCAAGAGATCTGGGATCAAACATATGAAAATGAGTTTCGGCAATATATAAATCAATTTACAAAAAAAACGAGTAATAGAAGGAGCATTCCGATTCTGGTCCACAAGTCCTTTGTTTCATCTCAATTATTTAATTCCCATACTTACGAAGCTCATGATATCACTCAACGAATCTTAACTCATTTGTAAGTACTTTTTTTAAAATATTTGAAAACTTCCAAGAAAATATTTAAATATTTTTCTTTATAATAGTTCTGAACGACTTGAAGCGCCATTAAGACTTGAGGTTGAAGGTCTTGATTACGAAAGGACATATGCAATTGATACAGTAATATATATAATAAATAGACTATTCTGTATGCATCAGGATGTAGTTGATATCATATGGTAAGTATTAATTCTAATTCAAAACATTAAGCTATTGTGTGTTAATCCTTGTTTATTCTATTAGGATCGAGTTAACTACCTCTAATATGAAAAAACACAAAATTGATGGACTTTTCAAGATGATCAATTCAATTCAAAAGGATCAAACAATAGTCTTAATCGAGTTTTCATATGGTAGACGAGCATCTTTATCAAAAATAGAAGGTGATGAGGTTAAATTATACAGAAATTCGATGAAAGTCTTAAATAAGCTATTGAAAGAAACACCTAAGGATGTAGCACAGATTTATTTAGTTCAAACTGCTAGTAGATATTTTATCACATATATTCATTGAATGTTGTGTAATAAAAAAGTTAAATAATTCACATATATTTTTTATAGATAGTTCAATTAAGATCAAATATTTAGTTCTATCCTTGCTATCAATTTATATTCTTCAATTGTTTATATGCATTAAAATACCTGTAGCTTTTGATGAATTTGAACAATTTGTAAAGAAAATAGTTGATTTGATGAATTAGTAGGTATAGATTAGGAATATACACATGTTTTATCAAATATTAATAATTGAATTTGTTGCAGGTTGATGTGTTGTCAACTATTCAAGCAATGAAAGAAACTATGACAGTAAAAAACACTATTCATATAACATTAATAGATAACACTTTATAAAAGAAAAAAGTAATAAAAATTAACTTTTGCCTAAATCTCTATTTCCTGATTTCTCACCTTTTAGTTCTTCATCTCCTGGTTCCAAATCATTAGATTATGATTTGATATGCTATCTAGATTCATTAGTTCATAAAAAAATTATTTAAACAATTTATGAAATATGTTATTTAGAAAAAAAAATTCAAAAAATTAATATCAACTGATTTTGCAATATATTATTCAAAAATTTTTTATCATAAATGATTTGTAAAATTTTTATTAGAATTTTGATAATGAGCTGTTACTGGAATTTTTATTACTTTAGTTATATATTTTTAAATAAATAATAAATATATATAATTTATCACTAAATATGCAATCTGAAATTGATTTACTAAAGCAACAGATTTCTAAGCTTGAAGTTAAAAAGGTTAAGCTCGAAGCTAAAAATACTAAACTTTTAAAACAGGTTATAGAAGAGAGCACTAAACATGAAGCTAAGAATGTTTAGCTCAAAGCCAGAATTGCCAAATTGGAATAGATCACAGAAGAAAATTCTGAGCTTAAAGATAGAATTACAAAATTAAAACAAAAACAAACTCAGATTACTACTAATAAGCAGAAAGTATTTCTTACAAAAGATATTTCACTACTTATCAAAAGCTATTCTTATAAAGAGAAGGGTATTATCTATCTCTTATCTGAAATAGAATATAGCTCAACTCAGGCCCAAAGAGATGAAACTTTAGATTCATCTAAATTTTTAACAGAACTTAAAACATTTGCAACCTCTTTGCTACAAGATATTATTAATAACAATTTAGCTGAGACTCTAGATTTTGTAGAAACAGTATATAAAAAAACTGGCAGTAAAGAGATAATAAAAAGAATTAGAAAAAAAAGCTTTAAGAATCATATAATAACTTAACTCTACCTATACAATCCAAAGTATTAACTATATTGACACCTCTGGACTTGAAAACTGTAAAAAGTTTTTGAATCAGAATAGTGAAGCTGACATAGTCAAAATAAAAGCTTAAACAAAATATTCTAATTGTATAAGAAAAAGAGAATAGAAAATATCACTCAAGTAATAGCTGATAGCATTCAGGATAATATTCTTTCGGATAAAACAAAGGTTTAAAGTTTTACTTCCTCAAATCATATAACTGAAGTTTTAGCAATGAGCTGTCATCAAAATTCTTCTACAATCTCAATATTTGATTTGGTACAATTATTTGATAAACCAACTAATGCTAAATATTATACTAAAAAAGCTAACTAAGAAGAAACCTTATGCTAAATCAACTATGAAAGTGAATTTATAATTTAGTATAATGATCTTATAAAAAATAGTAATAGCAATATTAGCAAGAAAAAGGCAAAAGGTATAATTTATAATAAAATATTAGAGCATCTTACTATTATCTGTAAAAAAAAATCAAAAAAAATAGGATTACAACTTCTAGAAATCTCATATAAAACTTTATATAGAAAAACCCAAAGGGCTATAAAGACTTATAAATTATTTGAAAAAATAGATATAGATAAAATTATGTATCTTAAAATATACAGTGCAAATTCTATTTCAGAACTAACTAATGATCAAATTCAAAAGATTATCAATAATATTTCTAATTATAAAGAGTCTAATATAAAGGAAGAATCAAATCACATGATTGGAATTTCAATAACAGCTCATCACCAAAATTATACAACTAAAATTGAAAGTATTTTATCAGAAACTAAGGTAAGTACATTTTCTGAAAAGGTATTACTAGAAAAATTATCAAAAATAATTTCAGAGAAATCAACTGAGGCAAATACATCATCTAATCCAACTCATGATCATACTTATTTTCATAATAAAATATTGTGATAATATTCTGATCTATATAAAATATTTAGTAACAAAAAATTTGACTATTATAGAATTATTGAAAGATCATTATATCTAATATGTAAAGTATAAAAGGTAAATATGAAGCTAGATCTTATTTTATTATATGTAGAAAGTATGAAATCAAAATAATAGCATAAGTCATACTAGCTCTACTAATAAAGATGATTATTTCTGCTAATTTGTTTCTCTCATTATTGGTAAGGCATATATATTTAAAAGTAGATAACTACACAAACTAGTGAGTAAATAATGATATTTTTTTTCTTTGACAGCTATACTATTTTGAATTAACTTGTATTCTTATAAATGATAACATGCCTTCTAATATTATTTTATATGATTATTTGTTTAGCCACCCTATAACTGCTTTTGACAAGATATTAACTAATGACTATTATAAATAGTATGCTAAATTAGATAATTTATTAACTTCTTTGACTGATAAAATTTGTTTGATCTTATATAAAGTATATATAGAAGAAACTGAGCTTAATCTTTAGATAAACTCTGAAATTTCTGAATCTAAACAAATTAAAATGCTGATAA